TATCGGCACCTCGGACGCATGGTAAGAATGAATAAGAATGAACGGAGATTTTAGGAGAATGTTTCACGCAGAGAGGAGTTGGGAAGTGGAAGGGAGGAGGGGCGCATTGTGGGGGCATTGCTGTGCACAAATTGGCTGCCATTTGCCCACATAGCACTGGCAGAGCGGCAGATTTGTTGAAACTCATTCCTTTTCTGCTTCTGGCCTACCCGTGGCTCAGTCCTGAGCGTGGGAACGCTGGCCAGTCCTAGTCTCCAGAAGCACTTTGATGGTAACCAAGAAGCTAAGGTGTCAGTTCAGTCTGGTTCGGTCTTTAACACTCTCGCCTCTGAGTCAGAAGGTTGTGGGTTCAATGTCGGGAGCTCGGCTGTGGGGGGGCGGGGGGCTGGGGTGGGAGTGCTACATTTTCAGAGGTGCCGTCATTCGGGTGAGATGTTAAGCCAATATCCTGCCTGACATTAAATATCCCACTGCGCTATTGGAAAGAGAGAAGGAAATGTTTCCCTCAATGTCCTGGCCAAAAAACCTCCCAGATAAAAATGGTCATTCACTTCACGGCTGACAAAGCAATGGATATACTTATTGCTGTGCGCAAAATTGGCTGCAAATTGTGTTTGCCTACAAGCGGATACTGCCACTGCATGTTACAGACAGACATTTTAGGTGCTGTATGAAAATATAAGGATTAACAGTAAAACACGAGGCAGTGCAGGCAGGAGTTTGAGCGCGTAAAGTGGACGTGGATTGACCAAAGCGCTTTGACATGGAGGAGAATAAAAAAAAACACTCGGATTACTGGAATTCTGCCCGAAAACCCTGGGAATCCATCCAAAAGAGGAAAGGTCGCAGGCTGGCTCAGTTGGTCGAACGATCTTCTCCGAGTCTGTGGTTTTAAGAGAGGCCGTCTCCCCGCACACTCCCACCCATACAGACCCCCACGACGGGTGCTCTTGAGGGTCACAGCATGTCGGACGCCAAGCACAGGCTGAGATCTTGTGGTGTGTTAGAGTAGTTGCCGCACCATGGGATCCTCTAGTGGTGGGACATGTCGTTGCATTTATAGCATCTTAAGATACGTGTACGTACTGTAATAGTAATCCTTACGTTTGGTACTACATCATTCACATCGAAGGTCTCACAGGGACATCATAGGATTTAGTGTAAAGTGTAGTGACTGCGCATTTCGTAGGCGAATGTGACAGCCAGTTTGCGCACAGCAACGCCCCGCGAACAGCCGTGAAGTGAGGGATCAATTTTACTTGTGGGGGATTATTGGCTAAGACAGCGGGAGAGAGAAACCCACTCCTTCTCTTGTTGAATAGCGCCCCGGGATCTCTGAGGTCCACCTGAACAGGCAGAAGGTGGTCTCGGTTTAACGTCTCATCTGAAGGTCGGCGCCTCCGACAATGCAGAGCTTCCTCCCGGCAGCTGAGTGGTTTTAGAGTCAAATTGAAATCGAAGCCAGGTCCCCAAAGTATTTCCGTGCATCTAGAGTAATATCGCTCCTGCCTCTCAATGTTATCAACCATGAGTGAGACGCCACCCAGTGGTGACCGACTGGTTGGAGACCCTTGTTCTGGATTCTGGTGCTCCACTTCCCCGGAGGGTTGAATGTCGGAGGAACGCAAGTACAGACACTGAGAATCTCTCCCAGGATCCTGGCCAATCACTCATTCACCTCGTGGCTGTTTGCAGGAACCTTGCTGACGTAATACAGCTGCTGCGATTCCCACACCGAACAGTCGCTACACTTGACAGTAATTGCCACGAAGCACTGAGAGGTTTTGACGTGAAGAGGAGCCGTAAAAGTGCGAACGTTTTCTCTCCCTCTTTGGTTAAGGCCAGCACTCACCGGCAGGTCAGTCAGTCAGTTTGGGGCAGGGCCTCAACACATCGTCGAAATGTCTCAAAGCGCTTCACAGGATTTTACTGTAGTGCAGTGACTGTGTATTTTGTAGGCGAGTTCACAAACAGCTATGAAAGTGAATGACCGTTATTTTCTATATTTGGGGGATTGTTGGCCCAGACACCGGGCAAAATTCCATTCCCTTTTTGAAAAGTGTCACAGGATGTTTAACATCAACCCGAACAGACAGACAGAGCCTCGGTTTAACATCTCATCCGAAGGACGGCAACTCCGGCAATACAACACTCGCCCCCACCCTCCCCCAGTACAGCACTGAAGCATCAGCCTAGACAACAACGACGACGACAGCAAATTCCATTTACACAGTGCCTTTCGCGTCGGGAGGATGTCCCAAGATGTTGGACAGTCAGGGACCTGAGCAGCAGGTTGGGATCAGAAGGGAGGGAGGGTAGGGGGGTAGGAGGGTGACGGAAGGCGCGGTCGAAGAGGAGGGTCTTGAGATGTGCCTTGAAGGAGGCGAGGGAGGGGGCGAGGCGAAGGGACTGTGGGTGGAGTTCCAAGGGTGGGGGGTGGGGGGGTGCGTTGAATCGGTAAACTGCTGATTCAGAGACGAGAGTGAGACCGATCTACCGACCGAACTGGCCTTACACCATCTTTGTGTGTTCTACAATCAGAGTAATTACAGAGTCAGAGACTGACTGGCTGCACAGACCTGCTGGGACATCACCGCGCTATTTGCATGACTTGTCTGTGGAGCCCGAGGGCAGGTGGAGATGTCAGCCCTGAGATGCATGGCTCCAGTTCTGATTTCTGCTGCTATTCTGCCCCAGGCTCTGTACAACAACCACGCAAAGGGTGCTGTGATGTCCCGGCAGGTCTGCAAGCTCGGGCACTCCCAGCTCCCTTTATGTGCTCGTGGCATTTAACGCTTATTCAGCAAACTAACCGTCCATGTGCCTGGTTCGTGATAGCCCTGGGGAATTCTGCTCTACAACAATAACAGCTTGCATTTATACAGCAACCCCCCCACCACCCCCACTCCCCACTTCACGCAGGGTAGCATCTCGGACCGCTTAACGGTGGCGGAGCCCGACAGCGAGCCGGGAGGGGGGAGGAGGGAGGAGGGAGGAGGTGACCGTATGTACAGCGAAGAGGAAGGGCCTACGGTTGGGATCTAAAAGAATGGAAACCCGGGTCCTCTCGCTTGTACATGTCGTGTCCCAAACTAGCAAGGTAGGATGGGGAGAGACGGACGAGAGGTTTGAAGGTGAGGGTCTCGAACCCGACCTGTTGGGCGACAGATTGCCAATAGTGGACCTCGTGGTGAGGTGACCCCACGCCTGGGGTTTCGAAGCCTGCAGAGTGTTGTGGGTGGGGGAGAGACGGAGGGAGGGAGAGAGAGAGAGCGAGGGAGAGGGAGGGAGATATAACCGGTAATCATTGACAATAGTTTAATGAAAGAGTCTTTCTCTCCTGGATGGCATTCCACAATATGTGCTGACAGCACAAACTCTGATCAATAAGTAACCACATTCGTCAAGGAATGGACGTTCGAGCAGCCAGGCAGATAGCAGCAGGTAATGTGGAAATCTTTGTAGCACACTGCGTTTAATCATTCATTCATTCATTCATTCAGTGATCAAATCTAACTGAACAAAAGCAGTCTTGGATGCAGCCACGAGCAATCCTGTAATAATAATAATAACAATAACAATAACAATAATGATTCCCCCCAAATAATAATGATAATTTGGTCACTCAATCCGCGATTGTTTGGGGGAACGCTGCTGTGCGCAATTGGCTGCCACGTTTCGCCCCCAAAATATGCAGTCGATTCACTTTACAGTATATTCTGAGAAGCGCTATATGAAATAACAATAATTATAATAATAATCCTGGCATTTGATACAGCGCCTCATCACGTCTTCGAGACGTCTCAAACGGCTTCACAGAATACGCTGTAAAGTGCAGTGGCTGCATGTTCTGTGGGAGAAACGAAGCAGCCAACGGTGCACAGCAGCGACCCCCCGAACAGTCGTGTGTTGAAGTGACCAATTTATTATTACGTTTTTAAGGAACTATCACCTCCAGAAAAGCGATCCGCCAATCCACTAACAACTGGGTCCCTACTTGCCCAACCATTTCGCCCTGGAGGGAATCGAACCCAGGTCTCTCGCTTGTGAGGCGAGTGCTCTAACCACCGAGCTACAGGAATCCACGCAAGGATTATTATTATTTGGTTATGATTATTATTACAGATCACCAACTATTGGACTGCCACCTGGTGGATCGATATGGACCATGTCTTGTCAGGAATGGGAGGGAGGGGGAAACGTGGTCGAGGTGTCAGGTCTTTGCTGCGCACTGTGTGTTGGTGCGGAGTTCATGGCGAATGTTTGTTTATGGGCAGATAAAGTTTCTAGAACTTTCCCTCCCTCAGAAACAGTCTGTTAATAATTAAAGAATAACAGCTCTGCGTCCAAGCAATCGTGCCAGCCTCCTGAATACTGCTACCTCTCGCTGCCCGTCATTGTTGTTGACAAAATATAACAACAACAGCTTGGATTTATATAGCCCCCCCCGTGCCGGGCGGTGTCTCAGAGCGCTTAAATCCATCGCTGGGGCGATTTGTCGAAAGAGCCAGAGCTTCTGCAGTTCACTGGAGTGGACGCACTGTAGTATATAATCATAAACACCTTAACACGTCTCAAAAGCGCTTCACGGAATATACTGTAAAGTGAATTGACTGTATATTTTGTGGGCCAAACACGGCAGCCAATTAATTGCGCACAGCAGCGTCCCACGCTGTGTAGTCGTGGATTGAGTGACTTCAACTTTTTTTTTTGGAGGGATTATTCAGGTCTCGGCTGAAGACCTTTCTCTTCGACCGCGCCTTCGGTCACCTTCGCCCCCCACGCTCCCCCTGGCTCCTCCCCCACCCCCCTGGCTCGGGGCCGGGATCCATTACTGTAAAGCGCTCTGAGACGCCGTCCGACGTGGAGGGCGCTATATAAATCCAAGTTGTTGTTTTTATTACCACTGGAAAGCGATCCGCCAATTGACTTAACAACTGAGTTCCAACATACTGCTGTGTAAACAGAGACGTGTGGAGTAATAATCTTGCCTAGGGTTTCGCCCCGGCTGGGAATCGAACCCAGGTCCTCTCGCTTACGAGGTGAATGCGCTAACCACTAGGCTACGGGGACTCCACATGTCTGGGGTTTGACTGCACTGCCGAAATTCTCTTACATCGGTTATTGCATCTTTCGCTATGAAGAGTGACTACCCAACCTGTTAGGGCTTTGACTTGCAGGGTTAATGAGCTAAGTGTGTGATGGTCACTTCTCAAATAATTATACCAAACATTCATGAACTAGTGGACTCGGCCCCCTACAGAGACCTTCAGACAGAGCCAGGCACCACTTGCCGCTGCCAGGTCGTGCACAGGACAGGTTAGAGACAGAGTGAAGCTCCCTCTGCACTGTCCTGCTGTCAGGTAACAACGCACAATCTTTTCCCAGGCCCTAATGAGGACACAAGCAAGTGAGGCTCCAGTCTTTGGGAGCTGCGCGTGCGAGACTCTGCCGCACTATATCTCTTGACTTTGAGGTTGAGACGCTTTGCTGAAAAAAATAATTGGCTGCAGTGTGGACAGACAGAGGAGCCTGCTGTGCAGGTTAGGTCGGTTTCGTGCAGTCGTGCAGAATGTTTCGGACAGAGACACACTGAGGACTGAGCTATGTTTTTGGGGGTGGGTGGGTGGGTGAGGGTGGTTGTGGGGTGGGGGTGGGGGATGTCAGCCGGGTGTCTGACATGCGTGGAAACCCATCGCCGTTGCTTAAGAGCATCCAAACCGAGCAGAGAATTCCGCGCATCCCACCTACATGTGCAAGTTCCACCGCTCGCTCCGATTAAGCGCCCACTTCGTGACGACAACTTTTCGTTGCAAGGAAGATTTGATATCAACGGGTTGAATTTCCGGCTTCCCTTTTAACAGGGGGCATCAAACCTCAGACGGAGGGGTTGGGGGGATATCGGTGGGTTGCGGGTGGGGGTTGGTCCCATCTGGGGACGGTTGGTGGGAGGAGTGTGGGCGTGAGAGGTGTTGTTGATCACGAAAGAGGCATTTGTGACCCACATGGATAAACGACAAGAGCAACAGCTTGTATTTATACAGCGCCCCTCACGCAGGGTAGCGCCCCAGAGCGCTGATAGACCCGACGACACACAGGAGAGAAGCGATGAATAGAGCGTGACGGACGGAGGGACACGCACACAGCTCAGCGACTGTGCAGCTGAGTCTAAGCAGCGCACAAAGGTCTCGGGGAATGATTAACTAAACGGAGACACCGAGAGTCGGGAAACAGTGGATGGGTCGCCTACACAGTCGCTGTGCCGGGTGGGGGAGAGGGAGGTGAGGCGGGGGCGGGTTGAGAGTGGGGGTGGTGGGGAGTGGGGGTGATGGGGTGCATCGTCCTCGACACAGTGACACACTGCCCTCTGCAAGCACTTTGCGTGCGCTGACACACTGTATAAAGAGCAGGTGCTGACAGCTGTAGGCTGCCGTATATATGTATGCGCCGCCTGTTCAAACAGCCTTGTCTCTCTCTCTCTCTCTCTCCGCTCTCTCTCTTCTCTCACAAACCCGCCCAGGTTGGGGATATAATTGCAGGCATGAGTCAGTACAGTGCCAGGTGCTGGCGGACTGCCATTTCTCTGGTTTTAAAGTTCGCTCAGAGAAAGAGAGAGAGAGAGAGAGAGAGATTGAAACACCTGAATTTCTACTGAAATGACATGGCTGGCTTTCCCCTCCACTGGCACACACCGAGCGGCAAGAAAACAGGTGCTTTTTTTTTAAAAAAAAGGGTTTCTTCTTGCGCGTGTTTTTTTTTTGTCCTTAATCTCGATCCTCGACGCGCCTTCATGCCTTTAAGCCTTTGTGGTTCGTTTTTTTTTTTAACTTGTGGTTTCGCTGCATTGCAACGAGCTCCAGAAACCTTTAGCCCCAGCCCGCGAATCACCAGTGCAATCCCTTTAAAGGTGCCTTGCAGGAAGCCATTTATGGCAGCGAATTTCAGCTGTCTGATTGCATGTGCAGCGCCTCTTGATTAACGCAGAGCGCTGGCTGCTTTATAATTAGTCAAATGTTTTCTGCTTCAGTTGTAAGGGGAATGGGCGAGGGTAGTATTAGGAACACAGCGGCAGGAGGAGGCCATTCAGCCCCACTGAGTTCCTCAGTGTTAGACAAGTCCGGCCTCTTAGGCTGATAATAATAATAATAATGATGATGATAATAAACCTTGCATTTGATATAGCTCCTCATCACGTCTTCGAGAGGTCTCAAAGTGCTTCACAGGATACACTGTAAAGTGAATTGACTGTATAGTTTGTGGGCGAAATATCTCTTAGGTTTTACGACGTCTTTCACGTCAGGAGGACAGGATGCCTCAAAGCGCTTCGGAGGATTCACCGTGAAGTGTAGTGACTGTTTAGGCAACCTACTTAGACCAGGCAGGCCTCTTCATTCTTGAGAGAAGACGATTCCGAGGGGACTTATAGAGGGGTAGAACATTTTAAAGGGGATCGAAAAAAGCGAGCACGCAACAACACGTCAGGAGACACCGAGAACAGTAGAACAAAAGGACACAGGTTTAGAGTTGCAAAAAGGGCGATTTCAGGCAGCACCGTCCCACAAACAGCCATGAAACTAATGACCAATTTTATCTGGGGGATTGTTGGCCAGGATGACGTGAGAGAGAAACTCCCTTCTCTTTTCGAATAGTGCCGTGGGACCTTTAATGTCCACATGAATAGGCACAGACGGGACTTCAGTTTAACGTCTCATCTGAAGGATGGCATCTCAGTCGGTTTAGACTATGTCAGTTCAAGTCCCGATGTGAGGACTTGAACCTACAACCTGCTGGACGCTGCAGGCGAGACTGTTACCACCTGAGCCAGGCTGACCACATTTTCCCTGTGATGCAGCTCACATCAATCGCCAGCGCAGGGCTGGCAATAGGCTGAAAAGTTAGTACGAGATCACAAGAGAGATTTGGATGGAGTACTTCCTTAGGCCTATTTGGTCTCGTGCTTCCAGAACACCCATCGACCGTACTCCCTTCGCAGCACTACAAATCTTCTTTTATCTGATGCAAATTTTTTCTGGTCATCACCGCTGTGCTGCTCCTTTTGCCCAAACAAAGTATACAGTCACTACACTTTACAGTATATTCCATAAAGTGCTTTGAGACGTCTCGAAGACGTGATAAGGCGCTATATATCAAATGCAAGGATTATTATTATTTTTCCAAACTTGTCCCAACTTTTAAATGCCCCCAAGGGGCCTGGAAGTAACATATTTTAGAGGTGTTTCAGGACGGATTGCGAATGGACAGAGTAGGACCGGTGACGTGAGGTGGAATAAACAAGGTTAGAGAATGCAGAGAGATGAGGAGAGAAGAACAGCGAACAGCGCAAGTAGAATTGAAGTCTTTGAATGTTTTATTTTCGGTTTAGATTGAGCTTGTGGTGTTTGTTTCAGTTCATGTTACGGGACAAAGCCTCCACTGATACTTGAGTAACTTTATTCCTGTAATACTCGTTTTTAATTTCAACGTCTCAGTGTCTGAGCTGAAAATATGCACCACCGTCTGGGTCACAGAGATTGGGATTTCCATGGGACTGCACGAGGTGAATAGTAATATTATTGCCTCTGCCAGCGACTGCGAGCGCTGTCCAACAAACAACTCACATCGTTCGTCCCGATTGTCACAGAGATGATCGAGGCAGGAGTTGAATGTCATCGTGTTGGCCAGGTAGTCAAAGAGATGAGAGTCGAAGAGGGTTTCAACGTGCCAGTGCTGCGCTCCTGATACTCAAACCCTCTGTCTCCTCCACTCAAATGTAATGGTAATAATCCTCACATTTGATCCGGCCCCTGATCGTGTCATCGAGTCGTCTCAAAGCGCTTCACAGGATGTACTGTAAAGTGGAGTGACTGTGTATTTTGTTGGTGAAACGCGGGAGCCAGTTTGCACACAGCAAAGCCCCACAAACAGCCAAGGAACGAGGGACCAGTTTTATTTTGGGGAGGGGAGGTGGTGGCCAGGACACCTGGAGAGACAATCCCCCTTCTCTTTTCGAGTAGTGCAGTGGAAAATCTTTTAACATTCACCTGACCTGAACAGGCAGATGATTTATTTTAAACTATTTATTTGTTTTATTTATTCTAAATATATTGAGTTGGGGCTTGAATTCTGTTTCTTTTGTTTCAACAGTCTCTGGGGATTAGCCGAGTTCTCCGTGTTTGACCATCATTGGCCATCAGGCTTCCAGCCTCTCTGCCCCCATCCTCTGGAACTCCATCCCTCCATGCCTTCGCCTCGCTGTTCCTACACTCCCTGCCCTCCACCCTCGCTGCTCCCAACTTTCCTTACTCCCCCCCATTCCCCCAACTCGGGTCCAAATCCCTAACTGTCCAGCACTTTGGGACGTCCTTCTGATGTGAAAGGCGCTTTAACACGGCGCCCGTGTTGGGGTCTCACAGTAGTGTTATTGTGCTAACGATAGGCTTATAATGACAATGACTACAAAGACCTGAACGGGCAGATGATTTATTTTAAACTATTTATTTGTTTTATTTATATCAAATATATTTAGTTGGGGCTTGAATTCTGTTCCTTTTGTTAATGGTGTAACTGTGCCAACATAGAGTCGGAATTAGACAAATATTTGTGGTGAGAAAGGTGCGGACTCTTTGCAATGTGTCAAGACTCTTTACACAGTCGTTAACCTGAGTAAAGAAATACTTCCTGGTGTCTGTCCTGAAATTACCCCTTTACGTAACTCTGCACCTGTGTCCTCTTGTTCTAACTGTATTGGTGCATCCCAAAAGTACTGCCCTGGTTCTACTTTTTCCAATTCCATTTAAAATCCCGTCGCTGAGACCTCCTCACGGGATTTGTGACTGCGCTTTCTGTAGGCGGACGTCTGAAATGAGATGGCGTTGCGTTTCTGGATTGTTGGAACTCCATTCCCCCAGACCCTCCTCTTCAACCACCCTCCTACCCCTACCCTCCCTGCCTGCCACTCTTACTTGATCCCAACACCCCCTGCCCTAGTCCAAATCTCTGGCTGTCCAGCACCTTGGGACGTCCTCCTAGGGTGAAAAGACCTGCGCAAATATAATCTGTCGTTGTTGTTGTTG